GATTGCCGGAGCCCAGCAGGTCGAGGCTGCGGTGGCCAGGAGCAGCCACTGCACTCCAATTTGGGTGACAGTGAGACTCCAACTCAAAAGAAAAAAAAAAAAGAAGAGACTTTAAAAGGCAGAACTGGTAGGACTTGACCTGTCAACTACAAATGTGGTGAAGTGGAAGAAGAGATAAATCTATGGCTAACTCCCAAGTTTCTGGTTGAGTGACAATGAATTTGCAGAAAAAGCTAGCTTGGGAGGAAAGTTAACTTTGGAACTTGTTGAATTTCAGATACATCTGAGTCATGATGTCCAATAAGCAGTTGGAGTACAGGAGAAAGCATCGAACATGAGCATATTCACTTTCACTAAAGACACATGGTTGAAAGGGACCATTTAAGGAGAATACGTGGAGGTACCACATGACTCTAAGGGACACTGACAGTTAAACAACAGCAGAGAACTACAAAAGAGCTTGAGAGCAAGAGGCCAGGGAACAGAAAAGCTAACACAGCGTGGTTTCAAGAAAGAGGGAATAGCTGATAGCATCACACATTATGTTTTAGACTGAGCAAATATAACTTGGCAAGAGCAGTTTCAGTAGAGTGATAACACACTGCGAGTCCTTAAGACATCATGTCATATCTGCTCCTGTGCTGCTGTCTGAACCTGTGGGAAGCTAAACAGCCAAATGCCAACCTCAGCGTTCACTTAGAGTGCTCTGCATGTAATCTATGATCCTAGGGTGTGGTTACGCTTAGTGAATGATTGATGTTAGCTGTGTCAATAATTTGAGAAGAACATGTCGTTGGGATTTATGGTCAGTATGTGAATACTCACTTTCAAATATAAATCAAATGTTTTAGTTGTAAGTTGGAGTGAAAAATCTTACATGTAATCATATGCTGAAATTCCATTAGTTGTAGTATCAATGTATGTACTTCATTTATTTTATTGAGAAAATAAAATCCTACAAAACTTAACTGTATGTTTTTATATATAAAAGTTATTGAATGCTTTCCAATTTTAGATTAAAATTAGCTGACAAATAACATAATCAAAGAGAGCATTAGCTATATAACTTTTAAACCAACAAATGTTTTAAGAAACTTAAATATGGCCGGGTGTGATAGCTCATGCCTGTAATTCCAGTACGTTGGAAGGCCAAGGTGAGAGAATTGCTTGAGTCCAGGAGTTCGAGACCAGCCTGGGCAACATAGTGAGGCTTAGTCTCTACAAAAAAAAAAATTAGCTGGGCATGGCGGCTCGCGCCTGTAGTCCCAGCTACTCAGGAGGTTGAGTCAGGAGGATCACCTGAGCCCAGAAGGTCAAGGCTGCAGTGACCCATGAGCATGCCACTGCACTCCAGTCCGAGCAACAGAAACCCTGACTCAGAAAAAAACAAAACAAAACAATCCTTAGATATAAGGCTGAATAATGTAAATCTAATCCTTTTACAATAACTTGATGAACTAGTATTCCTAACATGAAATAAGCTTTACTATATATACTTTTTATTTAAATCTTTTTCACTGTCTTCATTTGAAAATCAGAATCTATTATGTTAAGTACAATATATAATTAAATTTTTAAAATTCTTTTAATATAAAAACAGAAAGAATAGTTATACATATGTTTTAATTTTATTTTAAAGATGTGGAGTACAATTCAGGATTAGGTATACAAGTGGTCATCGTACAGGTGAAGTCTGAGTCTCCCTTTGGTCCCTACTTTGCCTGGTTTGAGATCAGGTACCCTTATCAATGTTGTGCTCCCCACCCTGGTAATTATATTTTTTTAAAGTAAAATTTTAGATTTATTTTTTATATTTAAAAAGTTCCTTCATTTATAAGTGGACTCTGAACAATTATAATACTATAAGAAAGAGACTGGCAGTAGGGGGAAACTGCCAGGGGAGGGGGGACACACTTCATCAATAAGGGCACCTGATCTCAAACCAAGTGAAGTAGGGACCAAAGTGAGGCCCAAACTTTACCTGTACAATTACCATTTGTATACCTAACCCTGAATTGTACCCCACATCTTTGAAATAAAAATTAAAAAATGAAAACGTTCCTTTTACAGGATAACATTTGGCTTTGGAATTAATTTTCACACTTGGTCGTTCGGCCATATTGTAACTTCAAGGCACCTCGAATAAATACTTCTTTTCTTTTTTTTTTAACAGATATCCACAACTGGGCAACACATTTTTTTCCTGTTAAAGTTAAAAGAATATCTTAGAAGTTATTTAATACATGCTCACTGCCAAAAACAGACAGGGAAAAGGAAACCGTCAGTGTTGTTAGAAGGGCTATTTTTCTTAATCACTATATTAAGTTTTTTCCCCTTATACCATTAAATCTTTTAATGCCTGCTTAATTACTGTTTGAAGCTCAGTATTATGTTTAAGTAACCATTACTTTTATCTGTGGGCATACAGTACATCAAAAACATACAATGGTTCTTCAAAAGTCTAGTTATACATAATCGTTTAATTGGTATTTTTTCCCAAAATTAATTCAGTTCCAGGTTTTTAGGTACATATCGTTTTGAACCTTTTTATTAATAAATTTCAACACACAATTAAAACTTAGCTTTTACACTCAAGAGGAATTTTTTTTTCTTTTTTTTTAAAGTATGAGTTTGGAGACAATATTATGCAAAAATGGGTTGGAGGAATTTTTCTTATAATATTCTACTAAATAATTTCACTTATATGGAATCCATGTAGGGATTTAAAACAAAAAGCAATTACACATGCTATGTAGCATTATTCTATGTTTTTTAATGGGTACTTACTGCCAGGTCAGCAAAAATTATTATAAATTAAAAAACGTACTTTTTCTTTTTGAGTTGGAGTCTCTGCTGCCCAGGCTGGAGTGCAGTGCGCATGCTCACAGCTTTGACCTACTGGGCCCAGATGATTCTTCTGCCTCGGCCTTCCAAGTGGCTGGAACTACAGGCATGTGCTACCATACCAGGCTAATTTTTTGGTTTATTGTAGAGACACGTCTCACTAAGTTACCCAGGCTGGTTTCAAACCCCTGGGCTCAGGCAATCCTCTCACCTCCACCTCCCAAAGTGCTAGGATGGCCATCGCAAGCCACATAGCCCAGCCAAAAAATATACATTTAAATGTGATCTAGCAATATGGCTTTGAAAATTAGATATTACCAATGTATATCTTTTGATCTTTTGTCTTAGCTGTATGCTCTACTACGCTACACCAAATGCTACAAGCAAACCTTTAAAATTGATCATGGCAGCTAGAATCTAGTAGAAAGCAGGGTGATAAAAGCCTGGGCTAGAGCAGTAGCGGCAGGAAAGTAAAAAGCCAAAATGAAAAACCAAGTCTTGGTCAACACTGAGTAATTATTTATAGTTTGTGGAAAGTACACAAACTTACTATGTAAGAGAAATGTAAATGTCAGATTACCTTTAATTTTAGCTAAAAAGATACAAATTAGAAACCCACAATAATGCAACTAAAAGACAATTCAGGCTTTGTGAATTTTATAGCCTCAAAGAAGTAGTCTACTAAATTTTCTACAGGGCAAAAGTTTACATATTAAAATAGATCAGCTGGGCAGATGTCTACATATGGTTATACAAACAAACAGAAATTAAATCTGCCAGAATCATTACTGTTAAAAATTCAAGGCCGGGTTTGGTGGCTCAGTGTGTAATCCCAGCAATCTGGGAAGCCAAGGCAAGTGGATTGTCTACATCCGCGGGTTTGAGATCAGCCCAGGGAACTTGCCAAGACCTTGTCTCTACAATAAATCAAAAATTAGCTGGGCATGGTAGCGCACACCTGAAGTTCTGGCTACTTGAAGGCCGAGGTGGAAGGATCACCGGAACCTAGCAGGTCGACAAAAAAATCAAGAATCCACTTGTCAAATTTTATAGTCTTAGAGATATATTTTATTCCAGATAATTTTCTGGCACATGAAACTGATAAATAAGAGATTTATTTATATCAATATAAAATACATGCAGATTTTATCCCTTCACTAAAATTAGTGTCAAATGGGGCCTTGTATATCTCTGTATTCCCAATTATCTAGAACAATGCCTGGCATGTAATAGGCACCAAATGCTCACTGAATCAATGATAAATTTTTCTTGTGTGTGTCTCATTAACAAAAATAGAGGTTCTCTTAAATGCAAAGTAACCTCTAAGTTCTTTTTATATATTGATTTTCATATATTTTAACCTTTTAGTTTCTACATTATGGTTACAACTTATAATACAATATAAGCATAAAATTAGACAAATATAATAAGATACTAACCAAACATCATTATAAACTATAATGTTATGTGGCTCTATCAATGTCACAATGTAGTATGATTATTTCTATTACACCATATATAATTCTTCTGATGGGCCTATAATCTGAATTTACCATGAAAGTGAAAGAGATAATTTTGTTCAGCTTTGGATAACTGTTCAATGCATAAATGACTTAACTGAGACCAAGCTACCAGAATAGACTTATCTACCACAAAATCAGGTTTTTAATCAACCAGGTCATCTAAGAGCAGGTGGGAGGCAACATGATGTTTCTGGAAATACTCTGTACTTCCCTGGAATAGGTGAAGGCCAGAGTCTGAAAAACATAAGTGAAACTTAGGGATTACTGTGTCACTTCCCTTCAATCCTGCACATAATGTTTCAGGTGTCTGAAATCTCACTAACTCCTTAGGGAAAGTAGTCAAACATACACAAGCTGATTTGTGAAACAGCGGAATAAAACTTTACAACAACTCTCTGTATCTCCCATTAAGTAGATGAACTTAGTATACAGCTGATTGAAAAGTAAAGTATAATTTAGTCATTCCAACACAGTTCCAAAATTTGATCAAGCCATCTCTTCCTCTTATAATTAATAAATACATAAGGGTCCTAAAATCACTGTTGTAACAACCACTGATGCAGGTTTCTAGATTCAGGAAAATATCCTTACCCTGAAATTGACTCTGTTCCTGACCCTCTGAGCCAATGCTGAATTTATAGCCTTATCAAACTGAAGTAGAACTTGAAGGGCAAGTTGGGGGGTGATCTGTTGAGACTGAGAAAAAGTAAAGGTCATAAATTGTCTTAGAGAGGAACATTAAAGACAAAGTAAGTAAAAATATATGAATTGTCATCTAAAATTTAACTAAGGTTAACCAGAGCCAATAAATTAGAATCCCTTTTCCTCTCTTGCCATAACTGACAATGAAGAAGCAAAACCTGTACACATCTTTTGCACTATCTTGCCACAAACAATTTTGATAAGAAAACATGCAGTAATGATACAAAGCCAGGACAAAACTTTGCCTAGCTTCCCTTCATAGTATCTGGAAAGAGGTGTTTCATAAATTGAGGGAAGAGTTTATTTTAAATAAAACACATACGGTGTATATGAAAGCAAGCAAACCCATTAAGTGTCTATTGAAGCCCATAAAATATATCAACAAATGGAAATACTTAATATGTTCTTAATTGAGAGGATTAAACAAAAATATTAATTCTCCTAAAATTGAAATATAAATGTAAAATTCTAAACTAAATCTCAAGACTTTATTAAATTGTACAAATTATCTTAAAGCAACACAGAATAGGCCTTTCTTCTCTAAATATGAGAAGGGGAAAACCAACAATCTCAATTTTTATGTTTAACAAAAATTTTCGGAGACTTAGCTATATTTAGTTATGTCACTCAATCATATTTTGTGTCCTGTTGACAGTATAATAAATAAGAATTTGAGATTATTCATCAGTCAGTGACACTGACTTGTTGGGTCAAACAGCCAAACAGAGACACTTTACCTCCTATATCTTTGCCTGAGCTAAGTGATATGACAAAAATTATTGTAGACCCATCAAAATAAAAATTGGATTTTCAATTCAGTCTCCCACCTGTATGAGCTCATCTAGGCTCTCTTGAAGACTGTTTCCCAAAGTGGTGTTTCTGTACAGCTGATATGCCATGGCTTAGGAGGAAGAAATTGTTTTTCTTATTCAAGCTTGCATGGATGTCCTAAAAATTTAACATACAATGTTAAAAAAGATTATACTATAACATTATAAATGTCTGTAATATAGTCTACTTCATATATTCTAATGTAGAACTCTTAATAATTGCAAATTACTATATAATTTTAGAATTACAAAGAATAGTTAAAAATGATTTTTTGTTACTTTTTTCTGTGATTTTGACATAGGCATTTACACTTCTTTATATGGTGTAGATGTTATATTTATTAAAATGTCTACCTTTACCTTTTCTTTCAATGGTCTGCCTTCTGACTTAGTCTGGGATTTTCTATGTACTATCCTTTCTATTTGTTATCAAGTCACTGATCCAGACACTCTTCAGCTCCTATTTGCATGGATGCCCCTTTATTTTCCTGTTCTCTTAGAATTCAGTATTTATAGAATGCCTACTAAGAGGCACAGTGATAGGTATTAGGGAAAGGAAGATGACTAAAGATATACTCCCAGGTCTAAAAATGTATACTCTGGAGAGGGTAGCAGACATACACAAAGGTTAAATTCAGTATAAAATAAGAACTGTAACAGAGATACACAATGCATTGCAGAGGTTGCCTGTGGACTAAGTGAGCTGGCTCAGAGAAGCTTCCAGATGTTAAGCTAGACTTTAGCCAAGCAAAGGAGGAAAGTCATTCTCAACTGACAGAATAAAGTCAAGCCACAGAGGATGAAATAATATTTGTGGGGGAGAAACAGAAACTGTTCCACATTATTAGGGCCTAAGTGTGAGCAGGGAGTGGCAGGAGATGACTGAATGAGACAGACATATGCTCTTGTCTGGCAGGAGAGGTGCAAGCAATGTGGAGTCATGAAGCATTCAGGCAGGAAAGGCCAGACAATGGCTTGAGTGTGAAGATCAGAAACAGCAAGGGCAGGGAGCTTGAAGAGGTGGTAGTAGTACAGATTCAACAGACACTTACTGGGCTTCTGCCACGTGTCAGGTTTAAGACATTGGCCTCGTGGCACTCGCAGCCTGGACATGGACAGGGGGATACCCTCGAAGAGTAATCACAGGTAAAACTCAGCATCAACGATGGTCAACCACTGCGCCTCACATTATGCGCCTTGCCAGTGCTTGGCACAGCAGATCATTTCCACGTTCTAGAAACATTTCTTTGGCTTCAGGACCCACTCTTGGCACTCTCTCTCCTCACTGGATCCCACTCCTGTTCCTGTTTCTTTTGCTGGCTCCTCCTCAGTTCCTGCCTTCTAACTTCTGAACCACCCTAAGCCTTCTTAGTCTTCTCTTCTTCATATGCTTTACTCCCATTACCTCTTTCAGGCTTTCAATATCATCCATTGTCTGCTGATGACTCCCAAATTTATACCTCCAGCTCTTACTTTTTGCCTTTGTACTCATTTATACTGTCTACTTGACATTGGATATATTAAGTAGCAGCTCAAAGGCAATTTGTCAAAAACCAAATTCTTAAAAAAAAAAAAACACACGCACATACACACACAACAAATTGATACTACCCTTGCAAATCAGCTCTGTCCTCAGTTTTATCCACCTCAGTAAATATTAAATCTAGTCTTCCAGTAACACCCAAAACCTTAGAGTCAACAAAAACTTCTTTTTTTCTTACCTGGCAAACAATCTGTCAGTCATTCTTTCAGCTCTTTCTTCTAAATATAACCAGAATCTGACAACTTCTACTATCTTCAATGCTATCACTGAGTCACTAGAGTTAATGTGATAGCCCATTAAATGGTCTCCCTCTTTCCATACTTGCCTATCTCAATCCCACCCTCATAGCAGCCCCGAGACTTTGAACATAAGGCAAATCACTTCATTTTCATTGGTCTATTCAAAACCACTAATGGCGCTATCCCATCTCACTTAGAGAAAAATCACAAAGTCCTTCCCATGGCTTGCCAGGCCAATGTGATCTACACCCCTACTCCCTCCTGCCCTTATCTTTGTCCGCTCACCCCACATTCTACTGTCCTTTGACACAGCAAGCATGTTCCTGCTCGAGAGCCTTTGCACTAGCTCTTCTTTTTGCCATAAGTGCTCTTCCAAGATACCTGCACAGTTCACTCTCTCATTTGCTTCAGATCTCTGCTCCAATGTCACTCATCAGAATGGGTCTGTGATCAACTTGTGAGAAAGAATTTCCTTCCTTCCTCCTCACACTGCTTTACTTTCACTCATACTAATAACTGAAGCTAACATGTATATGCATATTGTCTCTACCTACTGAAACAGATGATCCTTGAAGGTGGAGACTTTCATTCAGTTACATATTTATCAGCTAGAACAATGTATGCAGTGTATACTCAGTTAAATATTTGTTGAATGAATAAATAAACTGGAGGTATGCCAAAGTGCTAATACCCAATTAGAAATGCTAAGTCCAATAAGAAGTTTTCTACTTCACTGAGGAAACTGAAGCAATGAAAACTTCCAGACTCTCACAATCACATCTAACCACCTGTCAATATCTATATAGGTTGAACATCTCTTATTTGAAATGCTTGGGATTAGAAGTACTTTGGATTTTGGAACATTTGCATTATATCCTTACGGCCTGAGCACCCCAAATTCCCACAACCAAACCCTGAAATGCTCCAGTGAGCATTTCCTTTGAGCATTGTGTCGTTACTCACATTTTGGACTCTGGAGCATTTCAGACTTGGAATGCTCAACCTGTCTCCATGCCTGCCTATAGTTAAACTCGACATCATTTTATCTAAATCCACTCTTTCTACTTTCAGGACAGGTTTTGCCCTTAGCACACTCAAGGATTCTGTTGTTCCTTCTTTTCCTCACCATCACGTTTCCCTCTCTGGGCATCATTTTCATTAACAAACAGTGGCTACTTCTCCCACCTTAAAAAAACAAAACAAGACAAAAACCTCCTCAGCCCACTTCCCCTGTCAGCTACCCTCTAATTCTGTTCCCCTTTGCAGAAAAGTTCCTTCTAACCCCATTCCTTTCTTCTTCATTTTTTTTCTTTTTATTAGAGATGGGGTCTCTATCACCAAGGCTAGAGTGCAGTGGCTCGATCATAGCTCACTGCAACCTCTAACTCCTGGCCTTAAGCAATCCTCCTACCTCAGCCTCCCAAGAACCCGAGACTACAGGAACAAGCTACCAAGAGATGCTATTTCTTTTTTTTTGTAGAGAAGGGTATATCACTATGTTGCCCAGGCTGATCTTGAACTCCTGGCCTCAGGCAATTCTCTCATCTTAGTCTCCCAAAGTGCTGGGATTATAAGGATAAGCCACCGTGCCTGGTCTTTTAAAAAATTCACCTTTGCCTCTAGCACTCTAATGAAACAGGTGGTGAAGGCCGGCAATGGTGCCACTAAAGCTAATCTTCACCAGATTAGAGTATTTGACACTGCTGATTACTCTTCTCTTTGTTAAAGATCTTTGCTTGGCCTTTGGGACATTACTTTTCATTCTTTCTTTCTTTTTTTTTTTTTTTTTAAGAGACAGGGTCTCACTCTATTGCCCAGTCTGGAGTGAAGTGGTGTGATCATAACTCACTGCAGTCTCAAACTCATTGGATAATCCTCCTGCCAGAGCCTCTGAAGTAGCTAAGACTACAGACATGCATCATCATGCCCAGCCAACTAAAACATTTTTTTTCTGAAGAGATGCTCGCTATGCTGCCAAAGATGGTCTCAAACTCCTGAGTTCAAGTGATCAATCTGCTCTGGCCTCCCAAAGTACTAGGGTTACAGGTGTGAGCCACCACATCCAGCTGGGTCGTCACCTTCACTCTCTGGCTCATTCTCAATATTGTTTGTCGGCTGATCCTCTTCTCCCTGAACTCAATGTCACAAGACCGTCCACGGTCCCCTCTGCTTTCTGTCTACACCCCACGCTTTAGTGATACTATTCATTCTTATACCTTTAAATACCCTTGCTGATAACACCCAAATTCATGTACTAGCACAGAACTCGTTCCCGGGTCTAGCTGCCTGCTCCACATCTCTACTATTTCATGGCTCGACTTAAATGGTTCCATATTTCTGTGGGGCTTAGGCAACACCCCTGGAGTCACCCTCTGCAACCAGTTCCTAGCTGATCCTCCGAAACGCAGTCAGAATCCTGTGCTTTTGCGCCATCTCCACTGGTCCCACCCTGGCCCGGGCCACCATCGCTGCGATGTGGATCCCTACAGTAGCCTTCCAACCGCACTCCCTGCTCCTACACTGGCCCCTGCACTGAGCGCCACTCGCAGCCAGGACGATCTTCGCAAATGCCGGCGGGAGCATGCCTCTCCTTACTCAAGGCTCCAGGGTTTAAAGCCCCTCGGTCCTTGCAATGATCCAGCTGACCCATGAGCTCAACAACTTTCTCTACTACTTATCCCCACCACCCATCCCCACCCCCAGCCACCCAGTCCCCCATCCATCCCTCTGCAGACACACTGGCTTCCTGCTATTCCTCAAACATGACATGCCTAGAGGCTTTCTACCCGGGAGCCCCAGATAGCCACCTAGCTCTCTTACTTCCCTCGGATGTTGCTCACACGGCCCCTACTCCACTAGGCCAGGCTGGCCCCCGCAGTATGTAGAAGGCCAATCCCACCTCCACTCCGGCGCTCCCCCATCCCTGGGTTTGCTCCGTTTTCTAGTGGCCCCATCGCCTTCGGACACACACACAACAGACTCCTTTCTGCATCCTCCATTAGCACGTAAGCCCCGCGAGAGTACAGCTTTTTGCCGGTTCTGTTCTCTTAAATAAACTGGACGTCCAGAACTGTGCCCAGCACGCCGTAGGCGCCCAACACGTGTCTGCTCAATAAGCCGGGGCCGACGTCAGGGGGTGCCGCGTGTGCGCAGGGCCCCGCGGGGAGGCGGGGAAGCCCGGACCCGGGGAGGCCAGCACGCCCGCCAGCTACCCGGAGGCTGGCGGCAGCTCCTCGCGCTCGTGGCCGCGGATCTGGAGAATCCCTGGTCGGCGTCCACAGCTCCTCGACGTGAGATCCGCCACGGAAACGCGCGGCGCCCCTCCCTCCGCAGGGTCGACGGGAGCCGCCTCCACGCTCGGAAGAGACCCGTTTTCCCGCCGGAGCCCGCACCAAGTCGCCACTCGGCTGGGGACGCACCACTGCGGGGCGCCCCGGGCCCGCGAGCCCCGCGAGTCGCCGAGCTCTCGCAGGCCCCTCTCCGCGGAGAGCGCCCCGCACCCGCCGCTTCCCGGGGCCCTGAGGG